GGACATGATTCAAATCCACCAGCTATTCCACAGAAGACAGACTCCTCTAGTGTTATTTATTGCCTCTTTATATAGCCCTTTGGAGTGTCAGCTATGAGTCAGTTCTGACTAGAAGCACACAACAACTGGAGGTATGGTGGTTAAAGTCCTCAGCTGTTAACAGGAAGTCTGTTTGAAACCAGAAGCTATTCAATCTTGGAAACCCTATGCGACCATTCTCCTCTGTCCTCTAGGGTCACTGTGTCAGAATCAATGCAGTGGTAATGGATGCTGCCATAATGGTCAATATAAATACAGGTTAAAACCATCTGAAGTTAAATGTTAGGTTAGTTATAAAATCCTGCTGGATGTCAATGGCACTCCAGAAGTTATAAGCCTTCAGTCTGACACCAGTCCTTGTGGGTGGCATCATTCCTCCCCTTTGGCAGAGAGCTCAGGGGCAGTGCTGAGCTCAGAGACCTTGTGTAGTGTAGTGTTGTGTTGAAGTTCACACTATAAACATTACAGACGAGGTCTAACTCCCTTTTCACCAGCTTCAGACAAAATACACAGAACTAGCTCTGAGATGAGTGAAGCTGAAAACTCCATTAAAGAAAATCAATCTAGAAAAAACTCAGTCCCGAATTGAGAACAGAGTCTTCTTGGATGGATAACTCTGTGAAATAAGTTGGTTCTGTTTTAAATTTCCTGCAATCATTGTACACATGTATGTATACACATATGTGATAATTTTATGTACATGTCATAGACAGGACTCAGTCTATTCTGGCTGTTATGTTTACGGAGTAAATAATGTATTGTGTAATGAATGGTTTTTCTTAAATAGAATGACCTGCACTTCAAGATGGGTGGAATTAAAATGCAAGTTTATATGCTTACATTTCTGTCCTCAGGCTGCCATCACCAACCTTTATCCATCACAGGGCAGACAGAATGCTTCTTAGAAGCGAAGATGACAAGTCTTCGACTCGTAGACTTTGGATACATTCTCAGGAGAAGCCAGTCCCAGCAGAACGACATCACGGCTGGTACAGCGGAGGGAGGATCAGTAGAGGCAGGTCTGCAAGCAGTGAATTGACATGGCAGGGCCAACACTGGGCTCAAACACAGGATGGATTTGGGGGTGGCCCAGGCCTGGGCAGAGCTTCCTTCTGTTCTGTACAAGGTTTGCTCATGACTCAGAGCTGACCTGGCAGGACATGTCAACAACAAATCATCTCTCACAGAGAAGTCTTATTTCTTATTTAGAAGCATTGACTTCAATGTCTCTTTTTTTTATTTTTTTAAATTAAATTTTATTAATTTTAATGAACATTTACAGAGATTTGGGGTTTCCATTAATTCATTGTTGCACTATTTTCTCTACCCTCCTGCCCAGTTTATTCCTCTTCCCCCCCCTTGAAAGTCTGTTTTAATTGTCCCATTGCCACAGTGCTTGTCAAAGCCAGTTCTGATTAATCTTCTTTGTCAGTGTGTCCTTTGCCATTCCCTATCACTCCTCCCTGAGAGAGACTTCACCCTGATTCATAAGGAAAAGGGGATGGCATATTCTCTTAGCTACTTCCTGCTGAAAAGGGATGCTGTAGGGTGAAGATCTTCTCTCATGACTCTAAAGGCATTTAAAGATGATTTACAGTTGAGCTCTTTGTCATAAACACACACACACACACACACACACACACACACACACACACACACAGAGGTCCTTAGGTTAGAGGGACTCTCTAAGGTTACCAAGCTAGCTGAAAGGTTGGTGGTTCAAGTCTACTCCAAGGATGCTTGAAAAACCAGCCTGGCAACCTGCTTTTGCAAAGTCAAATAATGAAAATGATAGAGGTCAGTTCTGCTCTGACACATACATGTGGGTTGGAGTAAACTCGAAAGCCTTAGGGTTTATTGTTGGGTTTTTAGCTAAGTAGGAATCTTTCAGAAGAGATAGTGGTCTTATGCACTGCAGAGATTTTGAGGCTAGCTCGGGGCTGGGTGGGGTGGCCAATCTTTTCACCCCAAAACTGTCTAGGGAACATACTTATTGACCCTAAATGTCTCTCTTATGTTGTCAGTTTTTCTACCAAAGTACATGAAATAGAAATAATACTTACTGACTCATGGAACATACATATTAGCTCCTCACATAGTAATAACTTTCCAGAGCCAGTTCCACTTTCTGAAAAGCTGGATTCATGATTGTCAGGAACCTTCACAGGCTGTTGTAGCGTACCGCTGAGACAGAACCAAGACATCGCTGACCTTCGAGCAGGTTTTCAGAAGCAGTGACTCGCAATTAGACTGCCCTTCCTTCTGCTGGTGGGTTGAAACTGTATGCCCGTGGGATTGACCACAGCTAATAAACCATCTGAAAAAATGAACCAACGAGAAAGAAAAAAAAAATCCCAACTCCCTTAGGAATTCACATCATAAAACATTTATTAATAAGTAAAATCATTTCCCCCTGCCTTTGGTTATTTAAAAAAAGTCACTGAGTATCTTTGTTGATACTGATTGCTGAAAAAGGCTTTACATTATTGCCATCGTGTCAACAGAAGAGCGAGACGGATAGATATAAAACATGTAAAGGGGCACACCTCACAAAGGTTTCATGACAAATCTTGGTTTTGCTAGCATCCAGAAATGTATTTGCACATACTTAAATTTATTTTTTATATATATATATATATATATG